AATTGCTTCAGTTCTGTAAATACTTTATCAAGACCTCAACTTTCTATCAGATTGTCCTTTCCATAAACTAAATCTTTGTGAGTTGTCTGTGATTGGTATCTTTCACCAGGTTACTTCTCATGTATAACAGTTCTCTTTATTTGTAGATACAATTTTTTTGTATATATTTATTATTGTAAATCATTTGCTGCCACCAGCAGTCTGTAAGTCTAAACTATTAAATGACACATTTATATTCGGAATTTTAATTTGTAACTAAGTGAGCAAGTTTTTAAAACTGTCCTTCAGTCATTTTAAATTAAGAACTTTTGAACTAAAGCTAGCTAAGTCTGTCATATCCAGTTTATTTTGCATAAAGCATTTATTTACAGAAGAGGAGCTGGATAAGATCACATTTCATAGGTTAAACATACTGACACACTCATTTTTGTAAATTTTGACATCCAGTATCTATGGATGTTATTCATATGTAGTTAACACGTAAATATAATAGTTTTCTTATAGCTACATTTTTCATTGCTTTTAATTGGATACAAAGCATTTATGATTCCATAATAAAAATGGAAATGTGAATAAAAATAGTTTGCTACATTGGAGATTTAAAACAATATTTGGTATTAAAGAATCCGTTGTGAATGTGATAGAAAATTAGTAGTGTGGAGCAGTGTATATATTTGAGGTGGTGATTTGTGAAGTAGCCCAGTATTGCCTTAAATAAAAACACATTTCATTTCTTGTTTTATACATGTGATCTTATAAAGGTTATTTTTGTTTCTGTAACTTAGATTGGTGTATAGTTTAATTTTTGTTAAAAAAACAAAACAAAACAAAAAAACTTCAGAAACCGTTTTTGTAAATAGTGGGTTTATAAAACAGATGGTTTATTTTGATAATACCAGTTTGGTATCTATCCATAAAATACACGAGTCCTTATGCCATACCATTAAAAGCTAAATAAACAAGACACTTCCTGAAAGGGAAGTGAGATTGTGATCTTACAGATAAACTCAGTGGTTGTGCTCTATTGATGGCATGGGCTCCCTTTGCGCTCTTCTGCCTCTTGCTGACTGTACCTGGCACCACTCTCACAACCTCTCTTTTCCACACTGGAACGAGCCTCAGAAGCGGTGCTGCTTGTAGTGCCCGGGACTGGAGCAATTCCTCTGTATGCTGCTAACTGAAATGACAGGTATCCAGTTTGTTGAGTAACCAAAAATGTGAATGCATTGGTGGGAGCTGTCAGTACCCAGAAGTCTTCGGTGTTGGTTTTCACATGTGATTATCTTGACTCAGATGGGACAAGCCAGCTGGGTTGTGTGGTACCAAAAATTTTTCTTGGATTATTCTCATTATTGGGTGTGACCTACCTTCAGTAATATAAAATAGTCTTTAACTTGGGTGAGATTGGCTTGATTTTTATTTTTTTTTCTATGAACTTGTCTTGCCATGTAAAGCTTTGTATTAAATGCTACACTTGATTGCTCTTAAGCTATTCACCTGGAATCTTTGATAGTTTTCCTGAATATCAGTCCAGAGGGCACATTCCTACAACAAAATGAAATTACTTGTTGCGAGAGTGAGGATTATGTATGAAACAACAGGAAGGCAACAGTAGTTCAACTTGAGCATAGCCCTTGGTTTGCTTTGTGGTGCTAAATTGCCTACCTTCACAGACAGCCTGTGCTTCCATTTGAACAGAGCCCCTTGGCTCCTCTCGCTTTTGTTCCCTCCCAGGTGACTAAACTGGTAATTCTGCCAAGTTAGTAAATCAAAGGTGTTGTCTGATAAAACCAAAACAAATCCTTGCATTTTAACTCTAGGAGAGTTTGTTATAATAGTTACAAGCACACAGTGCCATGTTCTACCTATTAGAGGCCACGTGGTCCCCCTGGATGGAGCTGCTGTTGGATACCAGCCATGGTGATTGTAGAGGGAACTTCTGCAGGGGAGAAGAGGACAGAGATCCTCTGGAGTGGATCCACAAAGATCGCCTGAAATCTCATTTTCAGCTTTACTTAGCCACTGCAGTCACTGTCAACAGACCTCGCAGCTGTTAGTCTTTTAGAAGAATTTTTGTGTTGTGAATTGAATAGTTTCAGCATCGACATTCCTGATGATAAATTCCACATCATTTGCAGTTCTTGGACTGAGAATGGTATATAACTATTAGCTAAACAATGCTATACTAGAATGCTATTTAAAAAAAAGAGAAAAGGAAAAAAATTCCAATGTCATAAATATCCAGAAAGTAATTTCTGGTTTGTATCTGAATGTAGGGTCTGAATTTCTGAGAATGAAATATTTAATACTGTCTCATCCCAATCCAATTAAAGTAGGTGCTGTTCCAATATAGTCAGTGCCTTCCTTGACCCTTTTAGGTGGGTACTGACACAGGTAAGCTAGTATGGGGCTTGTTTTTTCCTTTTTTAAAAAAAAAGTGTTTTGAACTTAAAATGGGGGACCAAAGGCAGGGTCTGATTTAAGATGTCACAGACTGCAGAGGGCATTCTGGTTTGGTAATGCCACCTAGAAAGGCTCCCAAGGAAATAAAAAAGGTATATATATATAAAACATACCATTTGGATGTTTTATCTTCGGTGATGTGGGAAACCTCCACTGTAGCAGCAGCAGGATGCCTGAAGGGATGGCTTCTCTGGAGCCTGAAGCCATACCTCTGCCCTTGGGGCTGCAGAGCAGGATGGGACTCCAAAGTGGCCAAGGCAGCTCTACCAGCAGCACCTCAGCCTGCAGGGTGCCCCAACACCCAGAGGTGCCGCTGGCCCCATTGCTTACTCCCTCTCTGTCTTCTGCCTTGCCTTTTTCCTTCCTCTGTCTCTGCCTTCCAGACTTGTCACCTGTGAAGGGGGGGGGGAAGGCATTCAGGCAAAAGCTCGCTCTTTTAGCCCCTTGTTGCCATCAGGAATGTACTGACCAAAACAGAAGTCGGTGCTGATGGGGAAACAACCAAATCGAGGAGTCTGGCTGGATGCAGAGAACAGACTTTTGTGACTGAAAGTCACAGTCAGACTCTGTTGTGGTTAACTATGTTTATAAAGAAATCTATTGTCTGAGCCCTAATTCAGTGTAAATAAGAGTAGTGGGTTTGTCCTCACATGTTTTAGGGGGTCCTTCTGAGCAGGATGGGGGGACTGTGGGTTACACTGGGATGTCAAGTCTATGGCTGTTGGATAGCAAGTGAGCAATGCTTGTACAAGTAACACTAGAACCAGTTGTTGGATCAGGTGAGGAAAAGTAGTTGGCTAATTGTTGCAATGAGTTTCTGTGCCAAAGAGTTGGTTATGGCTCCCACCTGTGCAGGCAGGGATATGCTGCCCTGAGGTTTAGGTCCCCTGAGCTGGAGAAGCTCACGCTCAGCCCTGGCTGGAGCCTTGGCATGGAGAAGGTGATACTATTAAAAGGGTGGGAAACAGGGCCAGTGGTACTGGAGAAGGAAGTAGAGGGAATAAACTATCAGCAAATAGGGAAATATTTTTCTGTGTCTTTTTTTCAAACCTCTTCTGTCCCAAGGCAAGGAGCTTACTTGGATTTTAAAGAAAATGAAAGTCTATGTAAGACATGGATCTTTTGATGTTTTGGAATATGAATGAGGTAAATATTTTTGTATGAATGTGCATGGAGTGATCATGTTTTTTCTCCGTTACTGTATAGGCTCAGATCAGCTTCTTATCAATTGATTATATCCTTGTGGAACATAGCACTTGAATTAAATTTTTTAACATGTCTATTTGGGTGACTCAGAAGTTTAGGGGCCAAGCCTGTAAACTCATTTGAACCAAAAAATATAACAGCAAACGCCTTCAGGGATGTATGGATGAGTGAAACTTAAACTGGAGAACAAAAGCCTATAAAGGCAGGGAAAGGACTGTGGAAGGGAAGGAGCCAGTAAAAGGCCAAATGATGGCCAAGAACAAGGGTTCAGAAAGAGATGAGTTTATTTCTGTTCTCTCAGGTTCAGCAAAATCTGACAGAGCTGCCTTGTGTGACTCTCCCTTCCTTTTTGTGAGTTGCTCTATCAAACACTGAAATTTTTCAGCACATGATGTGAAGGCTACTTGGCAGTTTGCTGTGAGTTGGGTTACGCAGAGTTGGTCCGTAATAATAAATTCTCAGAATATTTCTCATGTAAGGTACTGGCTTTGTCAGAACTGAAGTATCCTCCAAGACTCGAAACATGTTGATTTTGGAATTTATTTATCATTTCATGGCTGTTGGAAGATAGAATTAAAAATAAAACTTTGAACATACATTCCAAAGAATTAGAGTTCTTGTTTCATGGGAAAATTTTTGGTCTAAGTGGGAATCTCTGACCAGCCACAGAGCTTTAGGGGATGCTCTAAAACCCTTCAAGCGCTGACTTTATATACTTTTTTATTAGAGAGCAGCTAATGCACAAATTTATCAGAAACCTGTGTTGTCTAAACTGTGTTTGCTTCTCTTCATTTTCTCCCAAATAAACCTTACTTTAAAAACAATGAATACTTTTTCATTAGTGTGCTGTCTTAAAATCTGTCCTCAATAATTAAAACCCAGACGTTTTAGAAACACTTTTTTCTTTCGTAGTGTTGCCCTTATCTTAAAAAAGTTATGCATGAGGGCACAAAAGGTCCAAGATGATTTTGGGTTTTGTTCTCTGTTACTCGGACTGTGGAAGTCACAGTTTCACAGGGCTCATGGGCAGTGGTTTTGCTTCATGCATTCTTTGGTGGGTTTTGTCCAGTAGCTGCAAAAGACTTTCTAACTGGAATTTCCATCATGAGCCACATTCTGTGTATGTAGAAATTTAACAGGAAACATCCTGAGTTGCGTAAAGCACCTTGTCTTGATATAGGTACTGATTCAGCATCACTCAAGATGTAAAACTTTAACTGGCCACAGGCTGGCAAGGTGGTATCTGAGGGACTGCTGTCACTGGTCAGTTCGGCAGCAAAACCTTATAAAAGTAGGTTTATTTTAGGAGAAAAAACAACACACCTTGAAAATCACAGTCAAAAAGCAAATAGTTTATTCACTAGTTCTTAAAGCTAATTCTGTAACTGCTACCCCACTACTCATAAATGTAATGCTAAAGGGTGCATTTTGATCAGGCTCACTACTGATATCTGTTCAAAGGTCTTTCATTTCAGCAACAGAAAGAGCACACCACCCTGAAATAAGTTTTTTTAGGCACTAGTTTCTGTTGTCTTAAAAGTCTAGGTTCAACAGAAGACACGTCTTAGCTAATTTCTATCCCTTTCCTCTTTTCCCAAATGATACACATAACACAGAGCAGAAGTGTATGGTATTTAAGAGATACTCTGAAACTTGGGGGGAAGGGAATAGATGATTCTTTTTTACTTTGTTTCTACTGGAGGTTTTTCATATTTTTACAGCAGAGAAATCTACTGAAGGAAAGAGCAGCAGTATTTTCAGCCTTACTTAAGGGACCAGATTCCAGGCTACTCAATACTAGGGACTACTGGCTACTGTTCTGCCATATTGCATGGTCTGCATTTCTCTACTCACTCCTGTGGAACTGGGAATGATCCTTTCTCTTAAATGCCACAACCACAAAGCAGAAGACAAATCTAATGACTTGGGAGCTGCTTGGTGCTGCTTGCACAAGTTTGAGCAAGTGCCTTTCCTTAGAGGATGTGTTCTGATGATTAATACCCTTAAAATTGTAAAGGGCTCAGATGCTTTCAGAAGGAGGTGCTCCATAAACAGCTAAATAAGCAAGTCTGTCTTTATCACCATGGGCTAAAATAGATTAGTCTACCTCTTCTTGGTTTTTTCTGGTTTTGATATGTTTTCTAGTCTGGTGGAATGGGCGTGTGACTACATAGTTCACTTCAAACACCAGCACTTTCCTATTGCTGTTGCAACAGTCATCAGATCCACCCACCTGACAAATGCTGTACATCCCCTTATTGTTCAGTTTCTTAATCAGTCCCAGGTTCTTCCACCTCTGCGTATAAAAAGCCTATTTTTGCTTGTACCAAAGCAATTCTGTGCAATATTCAATACACAACTGTGAGCAATTGTTTCACATGATTTATCATAAGCATCTGTGTTTATATTAAAACTTCATGGGATTCTCAGACTTCTACACTTCTTGTTTCAACATGAAAAGATCTCGATGATTTTATGTATGACATATATAACGTAACTGAATTTATCAGCTAGAGTAATGGGGAACTAGTAGAGAAACAGTATTTCCTCCGTAACTATCCTTTTCAGTTCCGTAAAGCACTCATGGGAAAAGCAATTTGTCAAAAGCAGCTTGTGTAATGGGAGGGTGGTCTCCAGCCTTCTTTCAAGTCAATGGGGAACATTTTTCTTGTTCGTCTCGTATATTCAGAGGCAAAGATGAGGAGCTATCGGGGAATCGTCCTGCAGGTGCTGCTCTGTTGTAACCAATGATTTCTGATTTGCGACAATTGCTTTTGGAGCCTTGCTGTTTCTTCATGTATCTCTTCAGATAACATTTTGGGGAGTATTTGAAAATTAGATAAGTCAATTCACTTAGATTTAGTATGATGCACAGGCATGAAGTTGCCACCAGAAAAGAGAGGAAAATCATCTCTGTGGGTTTGGAAATATAGCAGTCTATGCTACTGGGACATGGTCTTATGTCACATTTCACAAGATGTGGCATTTTGAATCCATTGTACAATTTATAAAACAGAACAAGAAAAACTATTTCAAATCCTGTTTTTAAAATGAGGCTGATTAGGTAAGTGCACAGCAATCCACCATCTATCTCTCCTGGGTTTCTGTAAAGCTTCTGGTTGTGGTGCTTCTCTCTGTTCTCTCTGTAAGCAACATGAAAAACAACCAAGAGTGAAGGGGTGGAGACCATGATTAATTGCAAAGCCCAAAGTCTGATGTGGGAGACAGGGAAAAAATGGTCAAAGCAGACATTTTCACAACCAGGCTGTTTGATATTGCATTCAAATTCATCATGTTCATATTTCCAGATGTTTTCTGCGGCTGCAACATAAACCAGTAAGCGGAACATGAACACAACAGCTACCCAAATTCTTCCAACTCCTGTTGAGTATTTATTCACTCCACTCAGCAGATCATGTAGGAATCCCCAGCTCATTTTTCTCTTCAAGGAAAGAAGGAAATGCTGTATCAAAGAAACACAGGATCAGAGATTCTTCCTCTTGGGTGAAGAAAAATGAGACATTCATTCAACATGAAATATAACCAATAGCTGAAATAATTTAAAATTATTAGGCATTTAAAAAGGAAAACAACAACAAGCTGATCTTATTTCTGATAATTTGTACATTCTGAGCCTATTACATAAAATTTATGTGCTGTTTAAATACATTTTGTCAATTAGGCTGAAGCTTAATCATTCTGTTAAACTGTCCTCTGTGAGGGGGTCTTCTGACAGGTAGAGCTTTCTCTGGCAAGTTCAGGCTGGCACTTTACCACTGAAGTACACTTAACTTAGACCTGTCAGTTATGCAAATACTAAGCCTAGGCAAATAAGATTTCACTTTCAAATTTATGTATAGGAGCCACGTGTCCCATAATAACTTGACTACACAAGTGCAAATTGATTTCTTTTTGTCTGTGGTCTAACTTCTGGGTAAGCTTGTGCAACATTTTAAATCCTGTCCTGCTTCATTGGATTTTATTTGTTGTATTTCTTATTACGTGTATATCATGTGTATATCTTATCGCTCCAAAAATATGTGCATCTGTGTGTTACAGTTTCTTATCTGCACAAGTTTTCCCCTGTCCTAAATCTGTAACACTTATTTTGGAAGAGCTGGTTAAGGGAGCCAGTGGCAGTGAGACTCTTGTCAAAGTCAAAAGAAGACCTGAGATAACCCCCAAGAATATACAGTCACTTTTCCACCTGGCCCTATCTCCTGGTCTGAGTGGATCTTTGAGGATATCAAGCTCCCTTGTTTTGAAAGAGCAAAAAGTAAACGTAGTCCCAGGACACAGAATGGCTGGAAGATATGAGGAGGGAAATCAGAAGTTTCCAGATCTTTGTGTTCTTTTAATGTCCTTACCCATCTACTGCTCCTGCGAGCTCTGCCTAGCAGGAGAGGAAATGTACCCCTTTGTGGTTGCAGTGGCACATACAAATCCCATTGCTGTAGCTGCAGTTACTCCTGATGTATGAGCAAGTTCATCCTCTGGCAAGTTTGAGTTCAAGTAGCAATGAGGCCACAGCATCACAAAGCTTCACAGGAAATGTTGTCAGGCATTGGAACAGGCTGCCCAGGGAAGTGGTGGGGTCACCATCCCTAGAGGTGTTCAAGAAGTGACTGGACATGGCTCTTAGTGCCACAGTCTAGTTGACAAGGTTGTGATCAGCCAAAGGGTGGACTTGATGATCTTGGAGGTCTTTTCCAACCTAAATGATTCTGTGATTCTATGAAGCTCAGTACTTCTTTTGCTCTCTCTTGATTCTTCAGCCCATCATGACTTCTGCCTATGGCCAGAATTCTGCTGGGGAGCAAGGTTATTTGGGTATTCCTGCAGTGCTACCATTAGAGCTCATGACTTACTCGAGGAGCTGAAGGACAGCTGCAGAAATTAATATATTGCTGATTTATACTGGGAAGAATGGTTACCAAGCTACTTCTCTATGCTGCAGATAAAAAATAACAGCTTATATCTTTTCAGACATATGCTCCTATGCTTTTAAACATGTTTGGAGGATAGTGACTTCGTGAAATACCTCTTTAAAGAGCTGTTTCTGTCCTCCACATCTGCAAACAGAGCTCAAGCAGAAGATTAAACCAAGTTCTTGAAGACAGCAGCACCAGCGCTTTGATGCTTCCTAGGTAAGTAACACCAAATCACTGCATCAGTCTCAAGGGAGCTGAACAGCAAAGCATAATGATACCACTGTGATAAAGCACAGGCAAGGAAACAAAGGGTTCACAGGAGCAGGTATGAATGTGAGCACATATGTGTGCATCTTGTGGATGAGCTGTCCTCTGAAGAAGATTAGACAGAAAAACTAAAGAGGCCCTTCCTAAGATTTTTAAGATGCACACAAGCACTGTCAAAGGGAAGACTGAATTTTGTTATGCCATGTAAAATGAGTACGGCTGAAAGGGGCTTTTGCTAATGGCCACAATAACCACACCATCCCTTTCTAATGTAAAAAGCCTAATGTCACCTATTAATCCATGCCTGGAATTATACCAGTTCTGAGCCTTCAGCTGAACAGAAATAAAAGATATGCTGGGTCACCAGCAAGGCGCAAAAATCAGTGGCAGCCAACACTGGTGGAAATCAGGCCATGGAGATACCTAAATATAGTCTGAGACATTTACTTTGAGGATTTTACAGATCTGAAGATGGTTCCTGGTCTATGTGCTCTGTTGAGGAGAAACTGAAATCTATTAAAGGACTGCAGGTCAGGTCTTGTGGCCAGCAGTGCTTCTACAGCCAGAAGCCTGCAGAACTTTGGTTATATTTTTTTCCACTTGGCAGCCTTCACATGATATTGAGAAATGGCTGTAAAGGACAACCTTCAGCTTCAAGCCTAAAGGGCCACAGAGCCTGTTTCGTGGTATTGTTTGGGTTATAACCAGCACAGCTCCTCTCTTCAAAGGAGCTGCAAATGTGCCTTTAAAAGATTTGTTTGCTTTATGCACCACTCTTGCTATAGATGTGGATGTTAACTGATGCTTTTGTATGCTTTGAAAATGCAATTAATTCACTGAAGCCTTGCAAAGAACATATGGAATGGAAAAACTAAAATGGACCTCAAAGATAAGGAGTTACTCAACTGATAAACAAGAGAAAATTGACTTCATGGAACAGCACGGGCACAGACTGATGAGAAGTAAAGTTAGCTGAGGCTAGAGAAGACAAAGACATTATGTGGGCTGTATGGAATTAAGAGCAAGGTGAGGATTCAGACAACAATAAAAGAGAAATCTTCTAATAAGCACACAGCTGAGCAGTAGGAAAAATATGACAGTGGTAAGAGGTTTTGTAGCACTTCTAGAAGTGGCAACACACATCAAAGCAGATGCTGAGTGGTGTCAGGGTGTGACACTTTGGCAAAATTATATTCTGACTAACCTGAGGACAAGAGAAGAAAAAATGTGATTCAAATCTTTGTAGCCAAGGAGAGATTTCAGCCTTAGCATTCAGAGGAGGTTCATTTTGTGCAGAATGAATCAAAGGGAGTCAAGAAGGGAAGCTGGCTAAAGAAATTGAGTAGATTGTGGAAAATGTAGATGACATCAATTTACATCAATTTACATCCAATGCTGAGGCTGACAATGAAAATACTCAAAGGTTTAAAAAAGCTACAAAAGTGTCAAAGCAGCATCTATTTGGCACTGTGGACATTAAGACCACAAAAAAGACTTGGCCTCTACAGGAAATTACAAAGGAGGCACTAAAGAGTCTTATCAGTAGAAGATAGATTATTTCACAGAATCATTTCTCAGAATATTCTGAGTTGGAAGGACCCACCAAGTGCTCAAGAAAACATTGAATGGAGCAAGAAGTGAGGTTAGATTTACTTCAACCCCCGGCTTGATACACGTGCACACTCCAATTGGGACAAAAGCTGAAGATCAGAGATACATTGATTTGTTTTACTCATTTCTGACTGAAGTACAAGTGATAAGCATGAGAACAAGTTCTGCCAGTCAGTAAATAGAGCAGGTCATCTCTCTTCCTCCTCACATACATAATTTACTTCCTAGATGTGACTTAAACCAACCACCACCAACATACACACACATTTTTTCCTGCTCACTAGAGACACAAATGACCAGAAGAGCCTCCCCACCCCTTGGTTTCCCTCAAATGTATGAGTGACTTGGTTTCCCCCCTTGGGGCTAGGCACATGCTCTGCTGAGCAAACAGAGTAACCTGAATGCACCATTAACTTCTGAATGTGCTGAATGTACTTCATTGAGTAAAGTGTTTGAATAATGCCATTGTTGTTGAATATATTCATCAAATATTCATTTCTGTCATTCACTGAGGTCTACAGAAGATTGACTAATGTACATTGAGTAATGCATCTGTTGAAAAGCACAGGGCTCAGAGAATTGCTTCACCTAGATTTCAATCAGCTCTGCTAATTTAATTACTTTAAAAGCAGAAAAGGTATCTTTGTGTGGAGGAAAATTGGGGGAGAGGAGAGGGACAGTAAGAAAATGCAAGAACAAACTGAATAACTAAAAAGAAGTGGGGAAAGCATCCAAAGTGTTAGAGGCACAAAGAGGGCAGACGATTTGGAGCTTGGAGAGCTGAAAAATTACAGGAAGAAGGCACAGTGTTATGGGAAATGGAAGTGGAATGGCAAGAAATAAGAGAAAGAACACAATCCTGTGAACAGTGGATCTATCAATTCTGCACATGCAAACTGAATTATCCTCACAGGTTGAGAGATGGAAAAACCCCTTTTTCTAAACTAAACATTCCTGGGGAATATTTTGCTGCACCTACAACTTACCCTTTTTTTATATATATTACAGGAAGAAAGAGAACCGTAAATAGTGGCAAAAATGAGAAAGCAGAGAGCAGAATTAGAAATCACAGAGGAGGGTATAGAATCAAAATATCAGAACTGGTAACAGTTTTGAGAGTTCATCCTCTCAATTTTTTTTTTTTTTACACTTTAATCAAAACAGCATCACAGCACTTTTATTTTTTTCCCAAACAGCAAGGAAAAGAAAAAAGAAGCATTGGCACAATGGTTTCCATAAACAACCAAACAAATAATGAAGCCTAACTTCAGATGTTCATTTAGTAACTGCATTTTCCCCTTACCTTCTCTGTTTGTTGATATAAGGAAGTGTGCATCCATTTTATGGTTGCTGAGTCTTTATTTCATGGACTGCCTACTGCTTCCTTACTGACTGCCAGAGGTGTGAAATCCACAGGCTGAAAAACACTGATTTGCTTTTTCTCTGGCTTTAAAACAGCTTAGTTGTGCAGAAACTATTCCTGACAGTTCACCAGTCCCCATCATGGTCTATCTATTTCAGTGCTCCAGTGCTAGAGAAGAGGAGGGATGAGGAAACCTCCTGGGAACACCAAGGAACAGTACCAAGCTGCACATGCACCAGCTGTTCAAACTGTTGCACATCTGCAATAGGAGCTGAAGAACTATTACTACAAGACACTAACCTTGCAACACCTTTGTTTCCTGTTCAATGACGAGAACTCCAAGGTGATCTCCAGATCCTTATAAGAGAGTAAACGAGAAAACAGAGGTCACAAAAATTAACTTTGACTTCTTCAGACAACTCATCTCTTATCATAGAATAAGTAAAGCTGTAACCTTAATATAGTATTGATACTCATTGCTTTTTAAGGCTCTTCAAAACCAAGCCAGGTAAGGTGTGACAACCCATGAGCAAACGGAGCTCTCCTGGCCGTGTGCTGGCCAAGTTGTTCACTTCTGCCACAACAGTTGCTAGTGGTTGGTAGTGCAGCAGAGTCTGTGGTTCTCAGGCTGATGTGAGCCAAAGGTTTCCCACCTGTTTCATCCTTCAGATGCTTTCAGTGGAAGGTGGAGGCCTCCAAATGGCAGAGGTAAATATATTGACAATAGCTTGCTCTTGTCTCATGGATAGACAAAAAAGTAATCTATAACTTTAGAATGAACTTCATTGATATAAACCCTTCATTAACATGTAATAAGAAAGGGAGTCTTATCCTCAAAACATTGGCAATCTAGACAAAGACAACACTTGCTGTTGAGGTGGAGATGTCCACCAGAGAGGTTTACCAGCATCAGTCAGCACATCAGAAGCAGATCTGTGAAAAGAATGATGATCTCTCATAGCCCAGTCCCTTGCTTTCCCCTTAGCTTACTGATTCTAACCACTCACTGTTCTATGCCTATTATTAACTTTTAGCTCCTTGGAGCAAGAAATAAGCCCTTTCGTACATTGGGAGATAAACCGCTGGTTACTCTGATATTAAAAGTAGAAATCCACAAACAATTAAATAGTGCTTAAAATATACATGTGGTGTGTAAAAACATTAGCCTAGGTGTTTATTTGCCAAACAACTACAGAAAAGGAAAAGAAAAGACTAGATGGAAAAGGGCTCAGCTAGTCATTTAGTTCCATACTGAAGCTGGTTGGTTTGGCATTTACACTTGACTTTTGCATGAGCTTCTGCAGTGATTTGGGACAAATCTTCCTTTCTGGGCTTCAGGATCTTAGCTGCCAAACATTCACTTCTCTGAAAATACAACTTCTAAACTACATTTTCAGTGGCTTCATAACATAAAACACGCTTGGCATTATTATTATAGCAAGTGGTGACAAAATCCTGTCTTGTTTTGTATTTAGGAAAACCACAACCACTACTTAAAAAACCAGCAGCTGCTGAGTGTGATGTTTTGCCAGCTGCTAATTGCTGTGGTCTCTTCTCTGCAGCAATGAATGGGTTTTGAGAGAGGGCAGACACAGTTCACTGTTTTCTTTGTTACTTAGTAAACTCTGTAATTAAAAAAAATTAAGTTCAGCAAAATGACTTAATTTTTTTAAGTCATGATGGACATATTTCACCTACACAACTACAACTGCATTTCTCCTCACCTTCATGCCAAACGAATAACCCATCCCTCCCATGCTCTCCTGGTGTAACCAAAAACCTCCTTCCGAAGCAAATGATCTTCAACATTAATAAGTATTACTGTTCCATTCAGGCTACTGTTACTGTTTTAATGCTTTAGTCAACTCATAAAATAAAAAAAGAATTGAAAAAGTCAAAAGATTTCCACATGGACAAGCAATCATCAATGGCCCCATTAAAATTTTTAACTCTATAGTTATAAAGTACTGCGGTAGTGCAGCAAAAAGAGGATTATATCCTTGGTTTATGCTGACTGATGCTACACTCGATTGAGGCTATTATCAAGCCTATTTGACATCTGAAAAACAACTTCTCCTTCAGTGAAACTGCATTTTATAACAAGAAACTCTTAACTTACCTGCACCTCAGTGAATGATTGCAGCTGGACCCCAGCTTTCTAGTGGAATTAACAATTAACAATAGATTTCCGACAAAGGGAGTTACTCTTTAAGCCTTGAAGATGGAAACTGCTTATCTTCTAGGTAATATAAACTAAATGAGTGAAACCTGATCGTCTCTCCTGGCACACTGTTCAAACCAGAACCATAAAGCATCTTGTATCATCAGAAAGATATGAGGAAACCGTGGCATTTATTTGAAGTCACAGGATTTATCTGCATCTTTTGAGCACTCATTGGCATCAGTTCAAACACTGCACACTTTGTTCTTTCACAGTAGCAACGGCACAGCCTGAAGACACGTGTGTTGTGAGCCTTAACTCCCACCCTGTTTGCTGTCTGACATTTTACATCAGATTTGTATTTTGTGTTGTCTTGGGCAAATCAACTGTCCATAAAACACAAATATTCTTTTAGGCACACATCACTCCTAACAATACACTGCACAGTGCTCAGAAAGGCCTTTCTCTTAGAATTTTAAATTACGGTGGTTTTCCTAAGCAAGTGAAGCCTGAATTTATTAAAATATATTTTGGTTACTGTACCTGTTAATTGATTCCCACATTGGACTAGGCAGATGAACCACTCCTCACCAGAAAGCCTATAGCTTTATTTTTAATAACTAAGCTAAGGAATAAGTGTTTATGTTCTGCCTTATGCATCTTACTGAATATCAATGCTTTGGTGGCCATTTTTACCTGGGATGTGGCTATACTGCTGAGTAACATTACAAAATAAGGAGAAAGACCGAATTCCTTGCCTCTTACATGAATTCTTCGCAGTATAATTTATTCATAGTATAGTTTATTTAGCTTAAACTTACTGTGACTGTTATCCAGGAATTATATGTGAATGTTCTGTAGTTTTACAGAGAGGAAGGTACCACATAGCCTAACGGGTGCCTGAATCAGGACCTTGGTACCCCAGAGAAGCTGATGCCTCTGGAGTGTGACTGAAGGTACCATATCTTGGAGCTGGACTGCAAGTCCAAACAAAGCCTTCCAGCTGCATGCTGGAGGGAGCTACCTGCCAGGTGAGCACCTTCCTCCCGGTACTGCTGCTGAATGCCTGACAAAAGCCATGGATGGCTGAACAAGGTCCCATTCACATAAGTAATTCAAAGGCTAAAATCACTGTAGGAATACTGGGATTACCTGTACTACTGTAGGAATATTGTGATCACCTGTAGTACTGAGAAAATCAAAATTTAACTTTAAATCCAAACTTTTTTATGGCATTAAAGACATCTGAGCAATTGTAACTGTCCTACAGAGATGGAAAAGAAAAAAAGCCCCAAGAGCCTATTGAACTGAGTAGTTACAATCCTATCACTTTAATGTCAAACTGTTTAAGCATCTTTATGACACTCACAGTTGTATCTCCATCGTACCTAGTATATAAACATTAAACAGTGCCACTCTATTGTATTGAATTAAGAGGAGCCAGAGGCCATTGAGTGGCAGGAAAGCTATAACATAGTCACCATCATGGAAATATGGTGGAATAACTCCCATGACTGGAGTGTTGCAGTGAATGACTACAAGCTCTTCAAAAGGGATAGGAGAGGAAGGAGAGGTGGTGGGTGGCTCTGTACATTAGGAAGTGTTTCAACTGTATAAAGCTCAATGATAATGATGATTAGGTTGGGTGCCTGGTGGGAGTCTGTTATAGATCACCCAACCAGGATGAAGAGGCAGATGAACTATTTTATAAGTGGCTGGCTGACATTTCATGATCACTAGCCCTTTTTCTTGTGGGAGACTTTAACTTGCTGGATGTCTGCTGGAAGCTCATGACAGCAGAGAGGAGGCAGTCTAGGACGTTCCTGGAGTGTGTGAAAAATAACTTGCTGACACAGCTCATAAGTGAGCCTACTAGTGGTGGGGCCCTGCTTGACCTTCTGTTTACAAACAGAGAAGGTCTGGTGGGAGATATGGTGGTCAGAGGCCACCTTGGGCATAGCAACCATGAAAATATAGTTTTCAATTTGTGATGAAATAAGGAAGTGGGTCAGCAAAACTTCTACCTTGGACTTCAGAGGGTGAACTTCGGTCTGTTCAGGACACTGTTTCAGAGAGTCCCTTGGAAAACAGCCCCTAAAAACAAAGGGGTCCAGGAAGGCTGGACATACTTCAAGAAGGAAATCTTAAAGGCAAAGGAGCAGGCTGTCCCTGTGTGCCAAAGGATGAGCCAGTGGGGAAGAAGACTGGCCTGGATGAATAGGGAGCTTTCACTAGAATTCAGGGAAAAATAGAGAGTTTATGACCTTTGGAAAAAGGGGCAGGAAACTCAGGAAGAGCACAAGGGTCTTGTTAGGTCATGTACAGAGAAAATCAGAAAGGCAAAAGCTCAGCTAGAACTCAATCTGGCTACTGCTGTGAAAGATAATTAAAAGTGCTTTTATAAATACATTAACATTGTAAAGAGGGCCAAGGAAAATCTCCATCCTTTATTGGATGCAGAGGGGAACACTGTAACCAAGGATGAGAAAAAGGCTGAGGTACTTGATGCCTTCTTTGCCTCAGTCTTCAATAGAAAGACCGGTTATCCTCAGGGCAAACAGCCCCCTGAAATTGTAGACAGGGACAGGGAGCAGAACAGGCCCCTGCAATCCAGCAGGAAGTAGTTGGTGGACTGCTGAGCCATTTAGACCCATTTAGTCTGTAGGACCAGATGGGATTCATCTGAGAGTACTGAGGGAGCTGGTGGAAGAGCTCTCCAAGCCCCTTTCCATCATTTATCATCAATCTTGGCTAACTGGAGAGGTCCCAGTTAACTGGAGGTTAACCAATGTGACACCCATCTACAAGAAGGAGGATCCGGGGAACTACAGGTTCCTTATCTCTAGTGTTGGGCAAGGTCAAGGAACAGATCACCTTGAGAGCCATCATGCAGCACAACCAGGGGATCAAGCCCAGCTAGCATGGTTTTGTGAAAGGTAAGTCTTGCCTGACTAACCTGATCTCCTTTTATGACCAGGCGACGCACCCAGTGGGTGAGGGGATGGCTGTGGATGTAGACTACCTGGACTTACAGCAAAGCCTTTGACACCATCTCCCATGGCATTCTCCTGGAAAAGCTGGCAGCCCATGACTTGGACAAGTTCACTCTTTGCTAGGTGAAAAACTAGCTAGATGGCTGGGCCCAAAGGATGGTGGTGACCTGTAGTGCCCCCCAGGGATCAGTGTTGGGGCCAGTCCTCTTTAATATCTTTATTAATGATTTGAGAGAGAGGATAGAGTGAACCCTCAGTGAGTTTGTAGATGACACTAAGTTGGGTGGGAGCGTTGGTCTGTTGGAGGGCAAGAAGGCTCTGCAGAGGGATCTGGACAGGCTGGATTGATGGGCCAAGGCCAGTTGTGTGAGGTTCAATAAGACCAAGTGCTGAGTACTGCACTTGGGTCCCAACAACCCCTTCAGCACTACAGGTTGGGGGCAGAGAGGCTGTAAACCTGCCTGGTGGAAAAGGACCTGGGGGTGCTGGTCAACACCAGCTGAACATTAGCGAGCAGTGGCCAAAAAGGCCAATGGCATCCTGGCTTGTATCAGAAATACTGTAGCCAGCAGGACTAGGGCAGTGATTGTCCCCCTGTACTTGGCCCTGGTGAGACCACACCTCAAGTCTTGTGTCCAGTTCTAGACATCTCACTACAAGCAAGACATTGAGGTACTGGAGTGCATCCAGAGAAGGGTCTAGAGGGTAAGTCCTATGAGGAGCAGATGAGGGAGCTGGGGGTGTTTAGCCTGGAGGAAAGGAGGCTCAGGGGAGACATTTTCAATCTCTAGAATTACCTGAAAGGAGGTTTTAGCCAGGTGGGGGTCAGCCTCTTCTCAGGACAAGAGGGAATGGCCTTAAGCTGTACCAGAGGAGGTTCAGGTTGGAGACTAGAAATGTTGTCACTGAAAGCATGGTTAAGCATTGGAATGGGCTGCACAGGGCAGCGGTAGAATCACCATCCCTGGAAATGTTCAAGAAACGACTGGACATGGCACTTAGCGCTATGGCGTAGTTGGCATGGTGGTGTTCGGTCAAAGGCTGGACTCAATGATTTGGAGGTCTCTTCCAACCTTAATGATTCTATGATTCTATGTGGTGGTATTTATATATTAAAAAGCAACTGTAAGGTGCAGAAAATCTGAGAGTTCCAGGTTACTGCGTGACAGAGTTCCTTACTATGGAGTTCGCTCTGTTGAACCTGTGAAATTTCTGCCCTCTGTAGTCTTCTTAGGAGCTGTGTTCCCTGTCTGAGATCTGAAGAGTGCCTAGATGAGAGAGGGCACTAGAAGGATTTTAACTTATCCCAGCTTAAACTTATTGGGAGCCCAAGTGTTGAAGGCAGAGGTCAGTCCTGGTCTGTGACCCCACTCCCAAATGCCTTCCCAACTGCATTGGCCTGCTTACATCAGATCGTCTCACTCATCCAGCTGAAAAAAATACTTTTTGTTTGTTTGTTTTCTGGCAATATTAGTTTTCAGCTGGACTAGGGAGTTGAGCAAAAAATTGGCCTACTCCAAGGCTGAGCGAATCTGAGATCGCACACAAGGAAGACCAGAGCAACTACGAGCGCAAACAGGTCTCCCCTTGCCCTTCCTTTTTGGAGATGCAGTCTTAGCTCAAGTTTGTCTTTAAACCCACTCTAAGGTATCTGGCTCCCTATTGTTGTAATGAGAAAATTCAGTACTGCACATGTTTCTCTGTTCTTCCTTTGTAGTAGAAACTAGCTTTTTCTTTCCAGAGGGGATGCTTTCAGTTTTGGTATTATTCTGTTCCCAGTTAGAAACAATTTGCTCACTCATTAATGAAAGTAGAACCAAAGAAAGTGTCTTTTTCCTTCCATACTGAATTCTGTTGAAAAAAATTTATCAGCTTAATCAGAAGAATAATTTTTGTTTGAAGAATAATGACTGCTTTAATCTTTGCTGGAAGGCTTGTTTGTCTCTCAGAGACACAGCTGGCTATCAAGTATTATAGAAGACATACACAAAATGTTATGAAACACAGAAGATTCACTCTAAGAGACTTTCATTTTTAAAATGTAAATTGCCTTAAAACTGTTTTGGATTGTCAGTGGTAGGGGTCCCAACCACTGCATGCTGCTGTCTGAAAACTGCCTTTTTTCAATGGGAATGACAGAAATGAGCAAGAGCTGCTGAAAAGCAGCATAAGGACTCTTGAGAATGACATGAGCGGAGCAGCAACCACACAGAACGCTCTCAATGCCACCCCTGTCTAGCTGGTCTGTTTGTTTTTTCTTCTGCAGTTATGTCCTTATTATGACAATATTGTTGCACATGCCTCAGTGCAACAATGGGTTCCCTCATCATTAGCTGTGAGCAAGGGGGAGTACTTCTCATTCCTAATTTTTGCTTTCCCTTCTCCCGTAGACTTGTTCAGGACAAAAAAAAAAAAAAAGTCCCAGTTATCAACTCTAATTAAAATATTGTGAAACTGACAGTGTCTAAAACATTTTAAAAATCAGGCAAAACAGGAATGCAGACACACAGTTTACACTCACATATGAAAACCCTAACAAACGTGATGAAAGTTGCCCCTCTCAGTACAAGTCATAGCAGTGAAGTCCCACCGTTGATGCAAAAAGAATTTTTTCTTCCCACAACAGCTCTGTAACTGTGTTTCTAAAGCAGGGATAATCTTATCAGTAGCTTGAGGCACCCTATCTTTATGCTGAAGACGATATGAAGCTCTGTTCCTGTGCGGTACTTGAAATAGGAAGGAGCTGTGAGGTCAATCAGCAAAGACGTGGAGGCACTGCTGCTGCTCCCCGGACTGCAATAGCCTGGCTGTCGCATGCTAACGATGTCTGCCGGGCACAGCATCGGGTTTGCTCTGTTCCCTACAGAGGCTCTTCTGCAGCTCAAACGATAAGGGGATGTGAGTCTCAAGAAAAGCAGAAACTGCCATTACGTTCTGAATGAATATGGCATACAGCAGAATCCTTTGAATGCAAAATCCCAAAGGAATTTATTTGAAAGGAAAATAAATCTCAGTAACGGACTTAGGTTTGGAAAAGGAAGAGTTTTTTTGTGTGGTTATTTTTCAGAAGAGATACTCAGATATCAGACGATGGGTGACTCAGAAATTCCACAGATATTTACTACTCTACTCTTTATAGAGTCTCTTCTATAAAAAGATGCCAAACAGCTTTATACGCCCTGATGGATTGAACATTTCAACATCCTGTTGGGTCAGATGATAGGAATAAAATATTCACATTAAAGATAAAATACAACACTTTCCCACAGTCATAAAGCAAAACTAGAAACAGTAAGCAATACAAGCTTTTCATCACTGTATGGTTAACCTGGCTAGCTGGAACATGCTTAGTACACATGCCAAGTAACAACATTCACATCAAAACCCAAACTCTCTTCTATGTCCCTCTTTGCTTCTCTTTCTATGCAAAAAGCCTTATCTCACAGCTCTTCACATGGAGAATATTTTCTCTCTGGCCAATGCTGTTCTTTTTACAGAGTCGAATCCTTCCCTGTCAAGGGTGTCTGGGACTTACCTGTCCTCCATAAGAAAGATGGGAAGTGCCCAACAACTAGCACCAATCTAACAGTCCTTGCCACCATTATATGGCAAATGTGTTCTGACATAAACCCATCCTACCACAACCTGGAAAATACTATCATGACCCTGACTGACTTTGGATCAGAACTTTTATCTGCATGGATGGTGTAACTGCTGGGAAGGTGTGCATGTGCCGATAAGCAAGTGTGCTTTCTCAGTGTGGTGATATAAATGTTTTGCCTTCCCATATAAAATGTGAGGAGGAAAATTGCTTGGGAGCTGTATGCAGATAATCTCTTACAGTACTGTAAAAAAATCCCCCTTCCCCTCAAGAAAATCAAGCTACCTTCCCAAAAATGAAGGCTCCTGCAAAAACCTCCTATTGACTTATTTCAATTAGACAAAAATGAAAACAAACAAGAGCAGCAAGCTTCACTTGGATTTCCTACTCAATAGTTTCCAAACAAAATCAGCTGTGTGGCATATGCTGCCAAAACAATAGCTACCAGATTAGCAGATGATATGTTGTGAATTAAATGTTGACACAAAACCCAGACATACCACTCAATCCTCTCTTGACACCAAAACTTATTTCCCTACTAATTTTCTCGTCTTATATTTAGTCACAAAAACAAAAAAAAATTCTTTAGATACTCCATCTGGATTTAGAAGGGACAAGTTAACCTGCAATATACTATTAATCCGCCATCTTTCAAAAAAAAAAAAAAAAGGTAGCTTGATTACTGAAAAAAAGCAAACCATGGAGCAAGTGGTTCCGAGTATCTGGATACCTCTACATTTCATAGAATCATTAAGGTTGGAAATGACCTCTGAGATTATCAAGTGCAACCATACACCTAGCATCACCATCTTCACCACTAAACCATATCCACAAGCGCCACATCCACATGCCTTTCGAGCCCTTGTTGGGCAGCCTGTTCCAACACATGACTACCCTTTCCAAGAAGAAATTTTTCCTAATATCCAATCTAAACCTCCACTGATGCAACTTGTGACCATTTCCTCTTGTCCTGTCACTTGTCCCTTAGGCAAAGAGACTGACCCCCACCTGGCTACAGACTCCTTTCAGGAGTCTGTATTGAGAACAATAACATCCCCCCAAGTCTCCTTTTCTCCATGCTGGAAGACCCCAGCTCCCTCAGCCACTCCTCATAGGACTTGTGCTCCAGACCTTTCATCATTTTCATTGCCCTCCACTGAACCAGCAGAGGGGCCCAGAACTGGACACAGCACTCAAGATGTGGCCTTACCAGCGCTGAGTACAAGAGGATAATCACTGCTCTAGTCCTGCTGGCCACATTATTTCTGATACAAGCCAGGATGCCATTGGCCTTCTTGGCTACCTGGGCACACTGCTAGTTCATGTTCAGCCAGCTATCTGCCAAGACTTATGTTTGTCCCCTTCTGTCCCCATGGTTGCAATATGCTCCACCAAAGTCCTCTCACACACCCTCCAGGTATGAGGAAGTGTGAACTGGAGTTGGTGAGCCCAGAATTACATATGTGCTAATCCTCCAGCTGGCTGCAGCTAGAAGTCTGTAATATTATCCATCATATCTTGGTTCTGCCAGCTGGTTACCTAGGGGAACACTGATCTGTGTACCTCCCTACCCTCCATGTATTGTTTTTTCCAAAAATTCAAATTTCTCCTCTACTTTCTAATGGGGCTGAAACTGCCCGATGGCACTGAAGTCAGTGGAAGTGGAAAGGGTGGCATGAGCAGTCAGAGGTGATCAGGTGGGCTTTGTTTCCTCTGGACTCCGGGCAATTTTCTTAATTTTACTGTTTACAAATGAAAGGAAACAAAACACCACCACAAAGCAGCATTTACATAACCAGGAGTTTTCAGATGCCCAAAGTCTTGGGTTTGGATCTACACAACAGAAATCAAATGTTTAAAATCCAATGTATTTTTCTGCTCAACCAACTGCACTTCCAGAGACCCGTCTTCACATGGAAATACCCTTTCCCCATCCTGGCACTTAAGATCAACAGACGGGCAAAACTTACTACCCCTCCTTTTCCATTTCCCACATTTAAAACATAATTGCTGACAGCCTGATTGCCAGCATTTGCACTGCTGGATGAATCCCGGGCAGCTCTTGGGATTGGCGTGACCGTGCCCGGGCGCTGAGGGGTGAAGGGCTCCTCTGCCCACAGAGCCAGCTCCTTCCCCCACCTCCTTATTCAGCACTGCATTCAGTTTTGGGCCCCTCAGTTTAAAAAGGACATTGAGGTGCTGGAGCATGTCTGGGAAGGGCAACATGTTTAATGAGGAACAGCTGAGGGAGCTAGGAGTGTTTAGGCCAGAGGAGGCTCAAGGGGAGCCTCATCGTCTCTTTTACCACGCCTGCAGTGAGAGGATGAGGAAATGGCCTTTAGCTGAGACACGGGGGACTTAGATCAGACATTAGGAAACAAACTTTTCACTGTTAGGGTGGCCCGGCGTCGGAATAGGTTACCCAAGGAGGTAGGTGGTGGAATCACCATCCCTGGAAGCGTTCAAGAGGCGCCTGGATCTGGCGCTGGGTGATATGGTTTAGTGGTTTAGGGGTTACAGTGGTAGCGCTGGGTAGACGGTTGAACTGGATGATCTTGTAGATCTCCTCCAACCTTTATGATTCTATGATTCATAGAGGAGGCAAGCCCACAGCCCCGCCCGATGGGTACACGCTCCCCGGTCCCCTCCCGCCGCCGGACGGCTGAAAGGACGGGCGGGGCCCGGGCCCTGTCCCGCCCCTCCCGCTGCGCCACTGCCCTCCGCCCGCGAGGGGGCGCCAATGCGCAGGCGCAGCCCTGCCCGCCCCGCCCCGCGGGGAGGAGCCGTTGGCGGCGCGCGGTGAGTAGCGGCGGGGGCGCGCGCGGCATTACCCCCCTCCCCCCGGCCCCTCCTTCCGCTGCTCCCTGAGGCGGCGGGGACGGCGGGAGTCCCGCGTGTCCCGGGAATCCTGTATGTCCTGGGAGTCCCTGCCGGGCTTTTTCCCTGCCAAACTGCCCCCTTCGTCCCGGTGGCGAAGCCAGGAGCCCCCTCGCCGCCCGCCGGGAGGCGTCTGCCCTTCCCCTGCCCTTCCCAGGGAGGTCCCCAGCACCGTGTCGCCTCTGCCCCTCAGTCAGCAGCGTTAGCCAAGGGCGTTTTGCCACCTTTGCTCAGGTGGCATAGAATCATAGAATCACAGAATAGTTTGAGTTGGAAGGGACCATAAAATCATTTAGTTCCAACCTCCCTGACATGGGCAGAGACACCTTTCACTAGAAAAGGTTGCCCCATCCCACCTGGCCTTGAAGGGATGGGGTATCCATAACTTCTCTGGGCAACCTGTTCTAGTGCCTCACCACCCTCACAGTAAAGAGTTTCTTCCATGCTCTAATTCTTATGTATTCTAACTAGCCTAGATTTCCTCTCTTTCAGTTTGAACCCAAGGCATCTTGGACCTGCCCAATGTGTGCAAAAGTGAGACCTGAGTCCTGGGGCTGCTGGGTGGGTGTACTACAGCAGGGTGTGGGCTGTCCTGACGCATATAAGGGTTAAAAAAACCCAAAACAATGTTTCCTGGCACCATCTTTTTAGCCAGTGGTCTGAAGACTGATGCTGCTCAGTCCACAGGTAGCTAAAGCATTAGCCAAAGGCAAGTGAAAAACCCCCAGCCCATTACCGGAAGATTCAGATTTGCTGTATGAAGATGTGCATCTCCAAAAGTTAATTTTAGGGTGCACAAAATTAACAGGATTGAAAATTGGTGTGCTTAAACTGGGAATGTTAGATGACACCAAAGGCAATCATTAATATATGCACAAACTAAAATTCATGCTGAAGGAAGACAAATTGAGTGTGAACTCCTATTCAGTGAATGTAGCTCTTTTATGTTTTTTACAAAAATGACACCTGTTTTTCATTCTGCTTCTAGGAAGTATTCAATATTAAGTAACATGTCTTCCACCAAACCTTCCAATGAAAATGAAACACCCGGAGAGAGAAAACCAGGACTGAGGAGTGTCCAGACAACTATGCTCTTCCGAGCTGTGAACCCAGAGCTTTTCATTAAACCTGTAAGATGCTCAAGAAACTAAATATGCTTGAAGAGACACAGTTGCTTTAAAATAATGATCACAATTCTGTGTGTGTTATATAACAATCTCTTATGCAAACCACTCAGAAATGTAACTAAAAATATTTTTATTTTTTTCCACTCTGATTGTTAAGAGCCCAGAACATTACATTGTTTATTGCAGCTCTTATTTCACTGTTGTGTTGTCTGGTTCTTTTGTACCTAGTCAAGCTTCTTTCAGAAAGTCTGTTTACAGACATGTTACCCATGTAATTTGACAGGTTAAGTAATAGGAATTGTTTTTAATATTTAAAAGGGAACAAATCATAAAATGCAAACTTCTTTGATATGAAATGAGGGGATTTTTGGTAGCTTTTTGGGATTTTGGATTTTTCTTTTTCTTTTATAATTAAGTTAATGAACTTGAGGTTTTATTTGCACTTGCAGAACCCAGCAATGAATGACATTTTATGCGTATAATAGAAGTAAATTTTGTGATAATAATACAAAACCTATAATCGAGGTTGCTTGGTAGGAGCACAGGACATTGTCCCAGTAGTATATCCAGGTGAATTCTGTTAGAAGTTTGTGGTAGTGACCTTTAGTAATTGGTTTTGGCTTATTCATTCATGCTCAAGCAGCATTTCTGCCCAGCAAAATACAGAGCACTGGGCAACGTGGTGTTCTGTCTCCAGAAAGGATCTTCTTTTTGAGAGGAAATTCTTTTTGCTATCAAAAAATTCAATCTGCAAGAAGGCAGTGATGATTTTTGCAGATGTCACAATAGTTTACTGTTCACTTTCTAAACTAAAATAGAAGAATGTAATGTTTGAGTTGAATGAAAAAAGTTTTCACTAAAAAACATGTACTATCTTTTTATTTCTTGTCAGAACAAACCTGTGATGGCGTTTGGACTGATAACAATTAGCCTCTGTGTGGCCTACCTTGGTTATTTGCATGCAACAGCAGAGAATAAAAAAGACCTCTATGAAGCAATCGACAGCGAGGGGGCCAGGTACATGAGAAGGAAAACTTCCAAGTGGGACTGAGAATGTAAGAAAGGAAATCAGCAAATGAGTCACAGAACTTTTCAAGGCTGTGTTTTTTTTCTCTTTCCATTGCATAATGGGTAAATGTCTCTTGCTATCTAATCCAATTCAAGTTCCTTTATAAAATGCTGGCCCTGTACAAATAAGTTGCAATAAAGATACATGCAAACGTAAAAGTGATTTTAAGAATTGCTGTCTGCAATCTCCACAGCATGTCAGAAGATGTGAAATTACCTTGGACCTGCAGTCAGGACTGGTGAATGCCTTAGAAATCAACACGGTAGTTAAGCTTACTTTTCTCTTTGCTTTGATTAATCGAAATCAGGTGTTTGTCTTTTATTTTTAAAACATGAGGCATAATGTATTGTCTGCGAAATTAAAAATTTGATCTCTTGATCAGTTGAAAGATGATAACAGTGGTGCAAATAAAATAATTTTAAGGCAAGAAAGATCTGATAAAGCAATTGGTGAGAGATTTAATAAAGGAATCTGTAAAATACTGGCCAAAATAATCCATAATTGGATGCTAATATACTCTTCCTTACAAATGAAAAAAGGTAAATCAGCAGCCAGATAGAGGAGAAAAAGTGAAATATTTCTGCCAAAGAAAGACAAGAGCAACTCAGCTGTTACCTTTCCTGTTTGGCATCATACAACAGATCAGTGAACATGCTGGCATCATCCTGCCAGTTGATAGGTTTAACTCCAGGTTGTCCAGAGCTTGTGCAATGTTCTTGACTAGTCAGCAGGACTAGTTTTATTTAAGCTCCATTCAAAAATTAAATTTCTCTCTATTACAAAGCAGATTATATAACATTAATTTCTTGTACGTTACTGAACTCAAAATAAGAAATGGAAAGTCTAAAATCCACAGGTGCTGCTGAGAGTGTGGCTGGAGGGCAGGTGGGCATAGTGGCATTTCCCAAGCACGTGTGGTTGTCCCTTGTGAGCCTTTGGGTAAACTGTACAGGCAGTATCTTTCTATTCCAGCATTGAGGCCTTCCCTCGTGAGGTTCCTCAGCTGCTTCTGGGTGCCTGAAATTTCCTAGACAGTTTTGCCCATGATGGTGACCTCTCCCAGCTCTTAACTCATGAATCCTAACTCATGAATCCTTCAATGTTGTTTTTTTTCTCCTCTGTCCGGTTGCAGAGGGGACTGAGAGAGTGGCCTTAGGTACCTCGCACCCAACCAGGGTCAGTTCACTACACTGAGAAAAGACAGGCAAAGAAAAGGAAGGCAACTGCCTTCTGGATCTGAGCCTTCCCGCACTGCTTCATGAGGCTTTTTCGGGTAGAGCATATGAGCACTCCTCAGCCAGGCATTACACAGTACGTCTGACACCTGTCAGCCTTAGTCTTGCAGCCTCCCACCGACTGCTGAAAGGCACACAGAGGATTGCTGGAGTGTTTTGCTTTGAAATTTTATTTCATATAAATTTCTAAATAGCTGTCTGCTTATACTGCATGTGGTCAGAGCAATATGCGTCGCATCTCAAGAGGAAAAGCAAGGAGGTTTACAGTGATCTAAAGCTTTTGACAGAGTTCATTCCATTTTATGGAGAAGTTTTCCAAGGGAGCTCTGTCTCTTGCTGTCATAGCATCTGCTGACAGTAGCTGGCAGAAGCTTAGTTCCTTGTGTTTAACCATTCAATTACTTGCTATAAGCCTATTATATATCTTCCCAGACCCTAAGTGCTGAGGATTTGAACATGAACCATTTGTCCTGATAGTATTGACTCCAGGGAGTAAGGGCTGGGGAGCAGGTATGGGATTCTACAGCTGAAACATAAGGAGCAGATATAACTGAAGTAATTGCAAGATGTTCTATATTCGTTGGGGGTTGTTTCTTGCAGTTCATTTTAAGAGGTGTGTTAACAGTGCTCACTAACAACTAGCTTAGGTGGTAGCAGAAAATTTACTCATCATCTATCTAGGCAAACACATCACTGAATGAGTGATTGAAGAGGGGTTTTAAGTATAGGATAGTTCAAAGACATCTGCTTTCAGCTGATAGCCTCAGGACTGGCTTTTTGCAGCAGTGCTGATGTGGCTGTTCCACCACGGCTACTGATTTTACTTAGGACTCTTGTAGGCAGCTACTGTTTATTTGTCACTTTGCCTTAATTTTTGTTTTGCAAATGCTAGGGCAGAGGTTGGAACATGTAGTGCTTAAGGAGCTTCCCACCAAGTCCTTCTTGAGAAGGAAAAAATCAGAAAATCCGATCAGAAAATCTTTCACTTAGTTGAGCATCAGCACTTGGACCGTGAGGACCTTTGGCTCCACACCTGTATCCTCAGGTGTGGTGTAAGACACACAAGCTTTGAGCACCTACAGCTTGGGTTCTGAGATTTACAGAGTTGCTACTCTATGTAAGAGTGTGAATGAGTATGTAGAGTACTTGCAAGTGAGTGGTTACATGATCTGAAAACTCATGGGGCTTGAAAGTCAGCCTTTGGGCAAAAAGTATGTGCCACCAGGCATGCAAAATAATTTGCCTATGGGAGGACTCAAGTTTATCTATTCACACATGCTTGAAGCCTGCATGGCTTTAGGCCAGTCTCAGTACATTGATTGGGTCTGAGATTTCAGCCTGCCTAAATGTCTGATTTGTCTTCACTGTGTAATAAGACTTCTCACAGCCTTCAGGTAGTATTCACTGAAGTTTTGTGTCTATTTCATTTGTTAGTCTGAAAACACTGTGTAGGATCTGGAGTGTGAGCTGAGCAATGTAAAGGAGCTGCTCCTTACTGTAGGTGATAGAAAGTATAATATGGTGAAAGAAACTCCATAGGCATCTTGTTTAAGGGAGATTTTAAGTGAAGTAATCTGTGCAGCCATCTCTTTCTTATGCTCAAAAACAACACCAGAAAACAAACAAACAAACAAAAAAAGCAGAATAATCTCACAAGTGTCCATCACTCTACCAAACTAAGAAGTGAAGACAAGTGAAGTCAGTGGTTTCTTGTGGAACAGTTTAATTCATATAGAATACTTTGAACAGATATGTGGCACACTTTGGCACTATTTCTGACTGACATGTCTGCAAAGCTTACTTCACTGAATTATAGAAGCTCTGTGGAGAGCTGACGTTCCCTGTTCATTTTCCCCCTTACATTCACATAAAAAAAAATCCAAACTTCGTGTTCACAATTGTCTAATCAAATGCATAAACTGCACAGAACATGCTGTTTTCATCTGTATGTCTGTGCATAAGGCAACACGAGGGGCAATTCTGCAAGTTGCGTGTCAGAAAAGCAACATCATGATGAAGTACTTCAAGTCTCCTTGAACAAAGTTGAAGTTCTCTTACAGTAATAGATAAGTAGATTTGTTTTGTTTTTCTCTACTATGGAGAATATAATATAATCATCATATACTTCTGCAATGCCTTACTGATGGCATGAAGAAAAACAAGTCACCCTGTCTTACAGGATTAGCCCACTTTTTATCTGGGATACAGTGGCAGTGACTGATACAGGCCATGGCTGTCTGCAGGGGTAAGTCCCTCCGGTTGTACTCAATGCACGATGATAATTATGACTGATTGGCAAACTGAAAAAGAAAAGGCTGTTTCATATTCTATAAAATTTTGCATATCAGGTACTATGACTGCATGAGCTATTGGTAGCTAATAAAAATCCTGAGTTCAGACATACAAGCAAGCCTTTCATTGCATGAAGCAGACAGCATATGTTTGTTGGCTTGATTTTGTTCCTGTTTGAGAAAGATTACAGCATAAGAACTAACACTACCCACTTTACTTGCAGTCTGATTCTGAGGGAGTGTGAATACATGCTTTTTGACTGTTTATCTGAATAATGCAAATAAAGAAGCTTTCAGATAACATCTGGATGCTCGAGTGCCAGTGATGGCACATATTGACAGCAGAGTGCATGAGACAAAACATAGAATGGGGAGCTGTAAGGCTGCAGTGAATAATACAGAAAGTAGGATTTCTCTATTAGTCATTCAGGAGATGTCTAATAATTGCCAGAAAGTACCACAGTCTCAAGAACAGCGAAACTTTCTCTCTAAGGCAATGCTATAAAAGACTGAAAAGTGGGTTGTCTAATTACTGTAGCTGAGCAGCTGAACTAGTACAGAGCTGTGGAACATGGCTGATAAGCAGCTAATTAATAAACTAGAGACATCTTGCTCGTTAGTCCCTCAAAGGTCTGCAGAGGAGCTCTGTGATGTCTTAAAAGGAGGATATGCAGATTGTGAAATCTCTGAATGCCATGCGTGGAGAAATGAAGTGTGAAAGGAACTAATGATGCTGGTGGCATTTGGAGTGCGAGCACACGCTGTCTGTGCATGTGAGGCAATTAAGGAACCACAGTGCCTGACAGGCAACAGACCACAGAACGATTACACTGTCTGTGCATGGGTGTGTGGTACCCACACAGACAGAAACCAGCCACGGTGATATAAGTTACTGATGTGATTTCCTTCGCTGGGCTTAATTAACAACAGTTCAGTGTCACATTTGCTGCTAGTTAAAATACAGATAGAGAAAAGGAATATGAGTGACTAATAGAATGCATCAAGTGACTGGTGGGAGATGCAGGTGATGGAACAACTGGCATTAATATTGGCTATTAAGTACAGTACATGGGTGTTTTGGGGATATGTAGGCAGGGTTCTTCCTGGGGACATGTCAGTGGAAGGAAAAACTGAGCCAACAACAATGATAGAAACATCCTGGGAAGTGAGAAAACCTGTGCCCCCTCCATTGCAGTTTGCTGGGACTAGCAAATAATGAGCTGTCTTTTGGTCTGTGAGCAAACTAAGAGTTAGGTAAACAGCTTGATAAACAACAGCTAGTAAACTAACTCCAGGCTCATTCTTATAATTTCTTTTGTGTACTTGGACTTCTCCAATATATAGCTGCAGTCTTCTGTTATGCTTTTCCTAAAGCTTGAGTGACTAGAGAAAAATCCTACCTATCAAAGTGTTTGAGCACCATATTTTTCCATTATTTTTCTCATAAGATTACATTCTTCCTTCCTCCAATAAACTTTGCAAAAGGCACAGGCACTTTGAACTTGTTTATTTGAAAACTTAATCCATACTATAAATAGAATATTGCTGACTATTCCACTTCATTCTGTCTTTTCTCACAGCTTCTTGGGATCATAAATTGCTGATACCAGATTAGTTGCAGGGCTCTGGGTACGATTGCTACTGGACACAAAAGACGCAGTCCCTTCCCTGTGCTGCCTACGCATCCCACAATGATTCCTGGGGTTTGTGTGGTTTTGGTTTTTTTTACCGTTACTGCCATGTACTGGAAGTGTTAGATTTCGGAAAAGAGTAATTTAACTCTGAGGCTAACATCTGAGCTATTTTGACTCTATACCTAGGGTGTCGATCATCTTTGACACATTGCTGATAGTCCCTCTTCAATATGAGGTTTATAATCCTGATTTATACCCAGTTCTGATTTTCAGTGTGGATTTAAAAGTCAGTGGCCTGCACTTTCAGTCTTAAACTTCACCTTGAAGTTTCACACTATAATTTCATTATATTGGTAGGAATCTGATGCTGAGATACTTAGCTGAAGTGAACTGAAGCCCTTCTGTGACATTCCCCTTAAAGTACTAAATATGTCCATCTGCCAGAAATGCTTGATCAACTGACTAGATCATTCCATCTCATCCATAAAACCTGTTTTCTGCTCTCCTGCTTCTAGCTGGACAACATCACCATTCATTTTTGGTGAGTTTTCAGGCATTGCATCTCAATTTTCAGTTATGAAGGATATTTTTAATATCAATAATAATCTCCATTTGAATGTATAATTTCCTATATTTTGAGGAAACTGGTTTTCTGCATACTGTTGTATTATAAACACCTTTGTATATATGAAATTTAAAGACTTTTGAAATAAAGGTCATTGTAATAAGAGGAGATTTATTCTTAGGTTACCTGGTCTAGAACATTTAATTGCATTAAACCTTTAGAGATGACTGTCATGAGAAAAGAACATGAGGAGTCAACTCTTAAAATACTGTTCAGCAGGATATGCATTCTCTTACATTTCCATGTTGACTTCATAAAGTGATACACATAAGCTGTTGTTTACAGACATAGCTTTAAATAGCCTTGGAAAGTCTTGAAGCTCCCAGACCTCTTCCTGTAAGGTCTAATATCTTACTTCTGAACACCAAATACTTGTGCTTTCTGCCTTATGACTTTCCCTGGCCTGCAAGGATGGAGGAACCAAAATGAAATGATACTGCAAAGGGAGACTTAATGCTTCCTTGAATCTTTTCATTAGTTCATTGTTAAGTAGGACCAACACAGAAGGTTTTGAGAAACTGCACTCAAAGCCAATGTTTAGCTAGAGAAAAGTAGAGCACATTTTCTTTTGGGCACTCGCTCACAGTACTTAAGGCACTTTATAACCAAGGTTGTTACAATCTTTGTAACAGCACACATAGGTGCAAAATAATGAGTTACAAATTAAACATTTACACAGCATACCTGGTGCTTCACTAGAAAAAGTATGAAAAATCTATAGCAGAAACTTGTGGAGGCTTTTGCCAAGTTATAGTAGGAGCTGCCATGGTTGAATGTGCATGCAAGTCACCTGAAGATGGGCAGTCTTAGAAAAAGGAAGGTGTTGCTTATGGCTCTTATGAAGACGACCTTTATGAGGAGTTGCTGTCAAACACCACAGGAAAGTGTCAGAAATATCTGAGGCCTGCAAAGTCACTAATCCCAAAGAGTCAGGGTGCATGTGTCACAGATATATCAAAGCACCTTTGGCAAGGCTAGTAGCAAAATGTCAGTTGGGTCAGGACTGAAGCTGAAGTGTCAGTGTTCCTCAAGGTACTTGCAGGGCTGCAAGGCAGCACTAAAGATAGGATCCTTTGGGGGTAATTCTTAGTACAGCCTCTCCCCTTTGTACAAAAGGAGAGTTTCCTCATTAAAACTGGAAAGTTATTCTGCACTTGGAGCTACATATTGAAAACAGATTGTGCCCCTTCACTTTCTGAATCAGGTAATAGAAGTACCCTCACCTTGCTAAAAATACATTAGCATTACCTTCAGGCAAAGGCCACATTTTCACATAATCAAGTGTCCCATAGTAAAACTGGATTAATGTATTGTCCTCCCCACTCTTCTTTTATTCTGGCCCAACCATTTGCTGTGGTGCTGTGAACAGGATCAGGGACCTGATTCCACTTTAAGAGGGGATAGTTGAGAATCCAGGCAACATATTTTTAGATCTTTTGTTATAAAACAGGACCTTTGCTCTTGATTCAATAGAGAACAAGGTAAATGCTTGCTGGCAAGTTTAATGCATTATCATTAATCATGTGGGGAGTGCAGAGGAGGAACTGCCTGCTGCTGTAATGCCTATGTTAAACTTTTCCTAAACTCTTATCTGTGAGACTGACTGTTTTGTGTTGTTTGTGGGTTTTTTTAACAAAACGTGTTTCTCCACTAGAAACTAGAAGTCACAATAACAATCTCTTGTGAATAATAGCTTGGACGAGCCTAGGTTTAAAGTTAACTACCTGTGGTGTGTTTCTTTACAGGGCAACTCTTGAATTCCACAACAGAAAATAAAACAGACAGTAAATGTGCTTGACTTCGGACTTTCGTCTATGAATATATTTAACCCAAGCATTGCATCCTTGTGCTAACGAAAAACCAGAAAGCAAAGACAACAGACTGTGATGAGGAAGAGGAGGCAGTTCAAGGAAGTAAAAAATAGCTGCATCTCCCATTTCTTAATGTGTTTAATTAATATCAGAAAATATCTGTGAAATTATTATTCTAGTAACCAGCTAAGGTTAGTTACCCATTCTGTTTAGGGACTGTTTTAATATAAATAGTAATTTATCTATGGATAATTGAGAATGGAAACTGTGTAAAATTCAAGAATGTATGGATCTATTCAATAATATTCACCTCTTGGTTATTAAACAGATAGTTCTCTATAGAAGACTTGCTGACCTGCTGGATAAAGACTCCTAAATGATTTGGAATGCTGTGTTTGTTAATGAGAGAAATCTGATCTCCATCACAAACTGGACTGATCCTTTCTTCTGTTACAAACCACATTAGATGAAACTGCTGTAGTCAAGAGCAGAAACTTTCCATGCTATCTCACAAACAATGTGAAAGAAACTGTGTTTCAAAGCACGTCTTGGATAAGGCTGTAATACTAGGTTCAGTTCAGTAAGCTGAGCTTTGTAAGTGAAAGCTTGGAATTACTAATTTTGCTGCCAAGGGAAAGTTCTTATTCTTTTAATTCTGCTGCCAAAAGGGGCTGTATTGGCAGGTACTGGAGAGTTCCTGGCTGACTTTGCTGGAGACCTTGCAGTCTTACAGAAACCACCAACCACCCAGTCTGCTGCATATGGGACATGAACTGTGATTCACCGACATTATTGCTGGTCAATTAGAAATGCCCCCATGTGACTGAGGCCTTGATCTGTGTCTCTGCTGTGCAAGCTGGCAAATGCTCTTGCAGGTTTGCCAATTCTGAACTGAGCTCTGTAGAAACCATTCTCTGCAGGGCTTTCACCGTGGACAATGGGGAGTTGGATTCCTTTCATAGTATGATATGGGACCACTGTGATCTTGCCAGACGATTCCTGGGAGGCTGCCAAAAAGACAGCAAAATTTTCTTTTATTCCATTCAGAAGGAAAATAACCTGGGATTCTCCACACACACCACACTAGCAGAGTTCTTTCAGTATGTGCCCCCAGCCTTTTTAGCTTTAAATCCAAGGTTAAGATGTTGAAATGTACATGGTTCAAAGATTCTCCTGAACAAATAGCTTCTAATACTGTAAAAGTCTGAAAGCCTTAGTTTCATCTGTTCCTGTGCTTGGTTCTATCTAAGCAGCAATATGTTGAGTGACTTGAAGTGGGTCTTGAAAGTCTGGCAGTGTAAGAGGACATTCACTGCTTGAAAGAACTGAGCTCATTTGGAAGTGAATAATATGGGTCCAAGTCTATAAGCTCAAGCAGGGTCATCCCAGATCACATGGCACAGGATTGTGTCCAGACAGTTCTTGAATATCTCCAGTGAGAGAGACACCACAGCCTCTCTGGGTGCAGTCACCTGCACAGTAAAGAAGTTCTTCCTCATATTCAGGTGGAACTTCTGTGCATCAGTTTCTGCCTGTTGCCTCTTGTCCTGTTGCTTGGTACCACTGAGAAGAGCCTGGCTCCATCCTCTTGACACCCTCCCTTCAGATAGTTTATACATGGATGACAAGACAAGAGGTCCCCTCTGAGTCATCTCTTCTCAAGGCTGAACAGGCCCAGCTCTCTCAGCCTTTCCTTGTAAGAGAGATACTCCAGTTCCCTCATCATCTTTGTTGCCCTCCACTGGACCTGCTTCAGAAGCTCCATGTCATATATGCATATACAAGTCATCTCTCAGCTTTATTTCCCCCTCACACATACGGCCCCCCCATATGCACAGCCCATTTTTCTTACCTATTGTATTTTCTTCTTGTCTTCTTGACTTCAAATGGTGGATATGTTTATTCTGCTACTGTCAGTACAGGTAGGAGGGAAACATCTTTCCTTTAGCTGCAGGTCTCTAGTTAGTCCCAAGTCCTCAACAGGACATAGAAACAGCTTTTTCCTTCACATGCTGGTCAGAAGCCGCTTCTGCAGCTCATTGAAGATTGCTCTGAGTTACTGGGGTAGGGAATTTTTTGACAAGCAAAGTAATCCACAAATGTGGGTGCTAGGAATATCTGTCTTCATTAAAAGTAGGGGATGCAATGCAGGAACAAAGTAAGGAGCTGTTGTATGAGTGCCCTAAGTACAATAGCATTTCATTCTGGTATTGTGTAAATGTTTGATCTGCTGCTCGTGTTTCAAGGTGTGGCTTGGGCAGGTTCTACTTGACTGGGACATAAACAGGTTTACTGCCAGACATACCCATTGACATGTAGTCATTAACCCAAGCTTTTGGGGAAGTTTTACATTGTGGGTGTTTTGCAGGCAATTCTAGAAGAAGTCTTAATATAGAGAGGATACAAATCTTAGCAGGCTGTAAACTTATATACTTCCTTTTTATGTTCTATATTTATTTACCCATTTAGATGTCCATTATCTAGAATGCTGTGAAGCCTCCAGTGTAAACAAGTGGTCAAAAAAATGACCAGTGGTCTTTCAGCAAAACATGCTTCCAGTTTCACAGGTACTTTTGAAAGAAGTTTGTGCATTAAGGGTCATCCACAAAGCTGAGAAACAAGCTCTAATGCCAGTGTGGCTTCCTTCAAAAACTCTTACACTAGGAGGAAAAGGATATTCTTCTGGATGAAGAAAGGGGGATGTCCTTTTGCAGAGAAGTATAGCAGGCTGGAGAGGTTGAACGTCTTCTGAAGTAAAGAATTGCATCAAGTGCAGCAGCCACTAGGCTTGGAACTGACATGAAAATCTTTGCTTTGCTCCAAATGTCCATTTTTATAAATCTGTGAGTTATTGCGTTGATAGTGTAGGTCAAAGATCAATCCTGAATTCTATTTTTGTGAAAGACACTCATGTCAATACTTAATATGTTGTCTTTTATATCTCATCATAGAGGTCACTTTCATTTTAAGTTATTTCTATCCCTAACTGAACTTTGAAAAGAGGTTGTGAAAGTTCTCAGCTGGAAGTTCTCAGCCCAGTTGTGTGCAAGCTTAAAGACTGCTAATGTGATGTTTTATCAACACAAATGATTCAGTCCTTCAAACACTGTAAAACAAGAATTTTACAATCAGATTAAGTCAATAGTTGAGAGACTAAAGGAACTATACTAACTTTAGAATAGAGAAACTAAATGAAATTGAGGCAGGAGTAGCACTTCCAGATCACTACTGCTTAAACATCAGCACTATGGTGACACACAAGTGGGGAGAATTATGTGAAGTTCAGAAAGATGAACAAAGCCAGACTAAAGATAAAGCCAACAGAGAACTAATTAAAGCTACAGATGAGAAGTAAAACAAGAACTTCCTTGTCTGTTCTATAAAGCTGACCATATCCAGATGATTACTCAGATGACCCAGCGTAACCATTTCTAAGAAAAAGTATCCTTTGTCTGTCATTGGGGGGTTTAAGATTGAAAAAGCATGAAGTTGCACACATATTAAGCTAGAACTAACCATGAAGAATAGTATAAAGAAACTTGGCTGAACAAAGAGCATTATGCATCATGGTTATCTGGTTCAAAATTTGTTTCAGTAAGATAATCCTGTTCAGTTTTCAAATGGAACAACACAAGGGTTCAGCTAGTCAAAGAAAATCAGATTTTAACAGAAACTATTCTGAGGCACTTTTTTTTTTTTTTTGGTGCATAAATACTGTGCTTAAAGGTGTTTGGTTTAACTCAAAAGATCACCTAACCAGAAATTAAATTTTCTTATAAAGTAGAGCCAAATATTCTATAGTAGAGGAAAAAATCAAACTCCGATTTTCAGAGATTTTAATGGATTATCTACAATATCTCATCTGTCACATGCAGAATGCCCATAATTTGCAATACTGGTGTGAGATCCTCATCTAGGCAGGTGAAAGTCCTTGCACCACCCTCAGAGTGGGGTGTAAGTAGCTGTTTCAAGACTCAAAAGGCTTGCAAAAGCTAAGATTTCTGAAAAGTGAATAAACTATATGGAGTTCAACCTTTAAAGGACTGCTTGGCTTCAGCAGAACAAAAATGAGAGGTTCACTTCCCTCTTGAACTCCCCCTAGAATGCAGCAAGGGCACTTCTCCAGAGAGGCCAAATACTGGCCACATCTTTTCTTGGTCCATGTCTGGGTGGAGAGAGGAGTCCCTTGTTGCTTGGACTTGGACTGAAGATTTGGACTACAAGGTAAGACCTAGAGTCTGAAAGGCAAGAACAGGAGTGGAAATCAGGGCAGGTAATTTCCCCACCAGTGAGTGAGTTCTGTAAGGACATAAGGAAGGCTGCTATCAGTAGTGGCCCAAGTCAGGTATATGAACTTTCTGTTTCTAATGCAGATAGCTATCTAGTTAAAAGACATTTAATTACTTACTAGAAACTCTGGGCTTACAGATATTTCTTATATCTCTCTGCTCCTGGTTGATGCTTCAGACCAAGACAGCTATTAGCATGCTGCCTCCCTCATGTGCAGGTATCCATATGTGCATGTCACGATGTGTGTAACTTCAGAATCTTCCTCCCAGGCACCGCTACAGATATCTGTTGAAGAACTTATGAATAAAGTGAGACCTAATGTTGACAAAAAACCCAGGGTTGTTGTGTAGAAATGTTTCTGCTTCAGGATGAGGAGGAGTGTGGCATTGACTGGCGACACTTTTGAAATGGTGACTACTTTTGGCACTTCAAGGGATCAGAGAAGGGAGCAGGGCATGCTCATGGCAGTCTTTTACATCCTTGTACCTCCACACAGAGCTGTTACCAAGGAAATGCCAGAGGCAACAACTAGAACAACTTTGGCAGCAAGAACTCAATGTGAATGTAGGGATTTTCTTTCTGCTTTTTCCAAGAAGTCCTATATGTTGCAAGTGACCAGCTTGAAAGAGCTGCCCAGAAGTAGGGCTTTTTGGAAGCTATTACTTCACACTGTATTTCTCAGTAAAGCAATGTCTTGCTGCAGTATATGAGAGCACTTGTCTTCTACATCTATTAATAATGAAAACTCTTTAAATTTACCATTATGACTTAATGTGCTCAAAATGGTCTGCCAGCAAACCTACTTCTAACTGCCTCAAAACCGTAAAGAATAGGTGTTCTCTTCCCAAAATTCATCTGAGTTCTGTGCTGTGGTGCACTGGAGTCAGTCAGCAGATCTCTATGGCCTCCAGCTTACACTTTGATAAAGGCTTGGAGAACACTCCAGTTTCACTGCAGTCATGGGAAGGAACAGAATGGGAGGTCAGAGTAAGTCAGCATGGTAAACTGTCCTGGCAAAAGGCTTTCAAAACTTCTTTTGAGAAATATCTTTGATTCAAAGCAAACCCAACTGTGCTTCTCAAATATTTGTGCATGCCAAGGAACAGGATTTCTGCCCTTGTTTCAGCAAGATAGACTTTATGGCCATCTCTAAATCCTTTCATTTACATTTTATTTATGTAATTGAATGGTTCCTTCTATATCATGTGTTTTCTGTACTTGTAATTTCACAAATTGGTTTCCTATTGCCTCAGGTTATTTTCTATCCAAATGTTGTATCCATTTCTATTATCAAGATTAACCAACATGCCTGATTGAAATAACAATCACAGCTGGCCAGTGCTGAGTATCTGAAGAAAAGCCTTAGAATTCATTTCTAAACTAAAAGGTAAGAAAAAGTGCCAATTCAGCAATACTTCTGGTTTTCTAAGAGTTACCAGGCACCCATGATGTTAAAATACCACTTTTTTCCAGTCTTTAGTGCTTCTTTTGAAGATTGCTACAAGCAGACAGCTCTTTAAAGAGTTCTTCTGCCAAGTATTCAGCACAAATTGACAGAATCTTAAGAATTAATAGCTGTTTCAGGGGAGAGAAGCTACACTGGGAGTAGAACTGCTTTTGGGAATAGAACTGCTTTTGGGAAACAAAATTCGGAATTTTGAAGAAGGGTATGAAATCTGCACATTAATGGCAAGGTATCCATTTGGTTCCCAAGTCATTTCTTGACACAGGGAAAACACTGCAGGGAGGGCTCTGGAGTAGTGTGGGTAATAATCCTCTTGCCCTCCCTGTCTTATTTACTGATCATTCCCTTCCTTTCTGACAGATGAAGTAAGACCATCTTGTGCATCAGTGAGAAGCCTGTAGCTGGATAAAAGTGAGCTGAGTTTACAAACTGTGGAATAACCACAATGCCATTATTAGAGCATTTTTCTTCTCACACTAAAGGAGTCAGTCACACAGTTACAGGATATTTGCTGTAAGATTCTCCCCTTCATCTATTTATTGGATAGTTGTTGTAGTTCCATAACTTTGGAAGAATTTCCTGTAACCTGAACTGAGAAGCATCAGTCCTGGATCTCCTGATGAATCCCGTGAGTGTGGGGTGCTGCCCAGTAGCCGATTCTTATATTTGTTCGACTCGTGGGAAAATTACTGCATCTTTTTTTCTTCTGTTTGCTTTTGCTTTTGCACACTGGCAGGATTTAGGGCTGTTGCAGTGACTCATCTGAACATTGTACAAGGAGGTGCTCACCTGTAAAAAAATATTAATGTTTCTGAATTATTATCAAGCCCAGTTACTACCTAGCTAAACCATGAAATAGCAGTGTATGCTTCTGGCCAAACTACAGCTCTTTTGAAACGTTAACTCAGCAGGCATATGTGGCAAGTACTTGATATAGATCAAGTCTATGGTAAATCCTAGATTTGAGCAGATTTGTTAGAGGGATGATTAATGGAAAAAGCTCTTGATGTGTGTTACTTTTATAAATGCCTTTGACTGAAATGTTAATGTAATGTTAATATTGTTTAGGAGCCTTAAGTAGTGATTCATCTGAACTCAACTGAATAATGCACCTTTTGCAGGAGTTTCCAGTTGAGGCACTCGATGATGGTATGTCTGGAATCTCTCCACTCTCTCTGCACAGCAAATGCCAGAGTTCTCAAGGTTTGAAGGACAAATAATTTTTCCCTGCAACTTTTTTTGTAACATGGCAAATACAGTGTATCCATTGTGCTTGTTAAGGGATCCAGACTAACAATAGTGCATTTATTAACTGGGTTTCTATGCTTCTGGGGTTTTTTTCCAGAAATGTTTAAATGAAGGATAAACTTTTTGTCTGCTATGTTATCTGTGAGTAATTTTTTTCTATTTCTAAGTTAAAAGCCAAATTGGACTTCTTTGTCCAGCAAAATCTTGCCACCTTGGTGACACTTTCATCCCAGGGATAACTGTCATCTTCCCTGTTCTGAGTTCCCTGTACAATGAGTAAGTCTAATCTTCCTGCTAGGTAGCCTCGTATTGTAGTGAAAGTCTGATACAGTGGGAACTGGGGGTAGACACAGCACTAGTATACCCATATGTCCCTTCTTTACTGCAGAAAAATGATGGAACTGGGAGAAGAAAACAGAAGAGCAGTCTAAGATTCCTTTATCGTATTCCAAAAACACCCTTAATGATATGTGAAACAGTTGCTATAGATGTCGTCTAGGATTCCTTTAAATGTAAACTATTAGTCTGCACTATGCCTCAACAAACCTGTAGTGGTTATTTACCTACCACTTATATAGCTTTCCAGGAGAGTCATGGAAGCTTAAATGGTGCTACCACCGCATGCTCTTGTGTTATTATGTCCTTAAAGCTGAGCTGGTCAGCACTGGTGACTGGCACCACAACTTTGTGCTCCAGGCAAGGCAGCGCTTTTTATTATGTGCAGGTTTGAGGAGGAAGAAGGAATAAAAATACTTGTACCAAAACCCTCTCAGCTTTGAAACTCAGTTTTATTGTGAACTAACAGACAAGCTGAAGAAGGTGGCATGGCCCATCTGTCCTCAGAAAATGGATTTCTGACTGTGCAACTTCAGTGTCAAATAATAAAAGCCGATAGATTAAGTGTATTTCCCACTTGAAAGGGACAGGCCGTTGATTCCTGTGTGAAGACAGGCTTTCATTGCACTGTTCCTTTGGAAGAACCAAGTGTAACCAAGCGTATGTTAATTTCTGCATCAAGGTGCAAGGTAGTTTCAGGACTCTGAAGTGTAGCAAACAAAAACTTGAATCACACAGTTTATGTTTTAACTTCAGATGTGAGGAAAAGGTCACTAACTCAGCTTCTGCTTGGATCCTGCACTGTCAGCTATAAATCCCTGCACTTAGGTGTATCACCTTCAAAGAGCTTTAACTGTGCCTTAAAATGTTTATGGCAGAAGGAGACCTTCAGGCCAAGGGGCTGATGCCCACTCACCAGCAGGACACCGAGTCAGAGGAGGCCTGAGTGCAGAGACAGGCTAACTGAGCTGGAAGGTCTCTTTCAGATGAGCCATGAGTGAGAATGACTGGAGGGTTAGTCATTGCAGAATTCCTTGGTGAATGTGGCTGTGTTAATGGAGCTCAGACAGACTCTTCCTCAGCCCAGCATCTCCACTGGGCACAGGGCAATGGGCAAAGCTTCATAAAGCAATGTTTTTTGCCATCCTGGCAGTCATATCTTCTGGGTGCAAGCTCTCTGTTCACCTAATGTGACTGCTAAGTGCTCAGGCTGTGCCCTAAATTCAACTGGTGAGTCACGTAGGTGGTTCTAGGCTGTTTCCTCTTCAGCTCTGCGATGTAAGAGCACCTGGCTACTTTGTGCCCACTCTAGCAAAATGAGGGAATGTGCTCAGACTTGAACAACCTATTAAGTAAATTCCGTCTTCTGGGAATAGGTGGATAAAGAGGCGACTTCCTAAATGTGATAGCCAGTCTAATGTAATAGCAAACTCATCAAATAGCTGCTATGCTTCCCCATGAAGAAAGCACTAGGGTGTCAAACTTTAGAGAAATTTAAAAGCAACTGTGTTGTTTCTAATGACTCTTCAAACTAATATGGAAAATCCTTATATTGCAAACCTAGAAATCTTTTTACTGTCTCACTCTCAGTCAATGGCTCAGATACACCGCCAGGGGGAAGAGTTTGTCTGTCTATCAGGTACCAAGCCTCCATTCCTAGAACTATTGAAAATTTAATACTGATTCTAAGAGAGAAATCCAACTGTTTTGATTATGAAAGAGTGTTCTGCAACATGAAGTTTTCAGTAGGTTACAAATGAGGTAAATTATTTTTTGTGGTTTAATACAGACTGCAAACCTTCCTTGAAACGATGTTTTTCTTTGGAAAATAAATAAATGGCTGCCTTTCCTTCCTTCCTGCCTTCCTTCCTGCCTGCCTGCCTTCCTTTCTGCCTCCCTCCCTCCATTCCTCCTTTCATAAGAACACTACTGGCAGTTTGTAACTTTTGGATTCTAGTGCTATCTGAAATACAGGTTAATACTATTGAAATGCTTAAAACAATTTAAAAAATTAAATTCTCAATAAGCTAAGCTGCAAATGTATTGTTTTTTCTTTCCAGCCTGCAACCTAAAAGTGTATAGGTAGTTGGATGTCTCCTACTGGGATTTACGAGCGTGAGCTAGTACTGGTGGCTTTTCAGAAGCTCCATATAATGTAAACTTTTGGAAAAGGGATGCAAAACTCAGATGAGGAGAAGAAAGGTGTTAGGGTGTGTAGTATTTTAATTTAGGATCAAGCACGTTTTTATAGAGAGAATCTCTACATAGTCCTCACCTGCTGTGCTTTCGTTTGTGCAGTACAGCAGGCTTGAAGCATGTGACTATTTTGGGTGAAATTAAACTTGAAGGCTCTGGGAGTGCCTCTGATGCACTTGAGCCACAAACATAGGACTACCTGCTGGGACCAGAGTAAAGCTAGTCTGAAGTAGCAACTGCTAAAGTAGATATGGTGTAGCTGTCTGGTCCTCAGCACCAAATTCTGTGCAGAGATTTTGCTCATTGCAGATGTTGACACGGACACGTGTTGAAACAGTCTGTAAAATGTCTTTAAAGAGTCTTTAAATTGTCAAGCCAAAATTGCACAATTATACAGGCTCTGCATTCATACTAAAAACCTGGACAAATCCTACCTGTAGTTTCCTGCTTTCTCTGAAAGTATTCATGAATTTGTGAAGCCTGTGAATTTGTCAGCAACAGCCTCGTACTGTTACAGCAGGGAACTTTCTGCAGCTGCAAAGCTGCAAATTCCACCTCCATCTCTACTGCACATAGTGTTTGGTTGAACTCTAAAATTGTCCACTTTTAGCTGATAATCTTTTCAGGAGGAATTTTTACTGTCACTGCTTTGAGCACCAAGTTTTATTACTGACTTTTGAAATTTGTAGAGACAAACCTGGCTATGCCACCTGCTCTTGTTTCTTCTAATTTCCAAAACTATATTCTTCTTCTCCTCTGGCTCCTCCCTACCTGTAGCTGCAGAACAGCTGGTTCTTGAGTGATTTATCAAGAAGCACAGAGGGAAATATCTGTGACCCTAAGCACACTAACAGCAACATGCTTCTGCTCCAGGAAGGACCCTAAAAGCTTCTCATCCTGCAATTTGTGGAAAAAGAAGTCCTGTAGACATTTATTTTCTTGATGAAAGTCTTGGTATAATTAATGAACTTAAGAGTATTGACTTTTTAAAATGTGAATGCAGAAGATGTATTAAGAAGCCTCATTAGCTGTGCTACTAGAATGAAACCTAAGACTTCACAGTGTCCTTTGAAGGATTATTTTGGTGCCTGTTCCACAGACCTTCTCAAAGTGTATCCCACAGTTGATGCTGGGTCTCTTTACACTGTACCTTTGTACACACACTGACAATGTGATTATCATCCTGAAGCTACTTGCCAGGTAGCATAGTATAATCTTCATTTCACTGTTAAGAGTGACTTGTCTGAGATCACAGTGTAAAAAAATCTTGATCTCATCATGATTCTCAGTGGAGTTCCCTCTGTCTGACAGCTTAAACCGAAGGCATAAAAATCAAATCAGTGGAAAACTGGTGTAGCTTGTCAGCTGTTGTCCCTGCATTCACTGTGCCTTTTGAGCTTACTTGATTGCCTTTTAGGGACATGGTTTTTAAATTTAATTAATGTGCCATTACTCTTTCCTCTTTCTGACATGGAAAAGCTTGAATAAATTGTGTATTGACTAACTGAACCACTTACAGCAAGGCATTGCACTCATCCAGTGGTGTGCACGCTGGTATGTGCAAAATTTGAGGATGAACTTGGGGCCCACTGGGCTGGTACACCTGGGGGAAATGCCACCTCCAGCCGCGAGCATGAGACCTGAAAGCAAATGTGACTCTCTTGTTCATGTTGCAAAGAAAAGTTGCCTTGTCTGTACTGCCTCTGCCTCAAGCACTTGCTATGTACCTCACAAACACGTGTTTTGTGTATACATGTATGTGTGCGTGTATCTACATATTGTATTCATTTATAGGTGTGTAGATACATTTGCCTGTACTGGGTCTGGCTGGGATGGAGTTAGCTTTCTTCTCAGCATCCACTGTGGTGCTGTGCTTTGGATATATGGTCTGTTGTTATCATGTGGGTGTTTTGGCAGTGTGCTTGCATGGCTGGCTTCAAGGTTTTCTTCTTCCCATTCTATCCCCCCAGCAGGCCATTCATAAAATGAATTGGGTTGGAAGGGAGCTTAAAGATCACCTAGTTCCAACCCCCCTGCCATAGGGCTATATATATTGGATGACTCCTTATTGGTCCAGTGGAGTGCCACAAAGATGATTAGGGGTTTAGAATGTCAGAGACTGCAGGAGCTGGGCCTGTTTAATGAGAGAGAATCTCATTAAAGCATATTAAATATCTCAAAGGCAGGTGCCAAGAGGACGGTGCCAGAATCTTTTTGGTGGTGGCCAGTGACAGGATGAGGAGACAATGGCCAGAACAGGCTGGAACAGGCTGCCTGGCGGAGTCTCCCTCTCTGGAGACATTCAAAACCCACCTGGATGAGTTCCTGTGTAACCTGCTCTAGGTGACCCTGCCTTGG